AGTATATCATAATGCCCAGTTTAAAGCACAACAGTTGGTGAAGAGCTTTCTCCAACATCCAATTGGATGGGAAAATGGAGCATCCTTTTCACCTATCACCCTTTTTCATTTGTGAAATGCAAGGCCTGCTTGAAGCTCTGACTTCCTGTTTCAGCAGGAGAAGAGACGTGGTCAACAGCAGTCATTCTTACACTGCATCGACTCGTCTGTAATCTGTCAGGAAATCAGTTTATCATGCAAGCTTTAAAAAGCAGGTCTAACTGGTTTAGGAATTAGCTTTCACGTGGTGGTGCAACAGCTAGGATGACTTTCAAAAGCAAAACTTAGCAGCAATCTTCTGTCCACCTCTTTTGGGGAAGCCTCCAGTGAGTTAAATGAGGAGGGATGAATTAGATTGTGCTTTTAATGGGAAGCGTACAGCACAATCTCATTCCTTAGAAGTGAGTTGCACTGTGCCCAATGGATCTTGTTTCTAGGCAAATGGTTATTGCACAAGGGAATTAATTTACACATGTATAAATAGCTACAAATAAGCAACTGTCCATTTATGATTTTCCCTCTCTAGATGGGATTATTTTATATTAATCCTCCCGCTGCACAAAGGCAGTGGTGTACACAAGAACAATAAAAACAATTCATCAATCATAAAAGGCATTAAAATATAACCATTTTAAATAGTCCAACTTAAAAAGCTGTCCAAAACTGCCATCTGGTCCAGGACAAATTGTAACCCTAAAAGTGTCAAATACAGTTGGCTTACCTTTAATTGTCTTTTAAAACGAGGAAGCAGTTGTTATTTCTTTGTGATAGAATTCCATAACTGCAGTGCTACCACTGAGAAAGTCCATTCCTGATCACTGCATTGTGAGTTGAACTCACTGGTGGACCACTTTATATATTAATTAGATTTATATCCTGCCTTTCATTCAGGAGCTCAAGGTGGTATGTGTAGTATTTCCTCCTTTTCTTTTCCCCCACAACAATGGCTCTGTGAGGTAGGTTATGCTGAGAGAAAGTGAGCAGCCCAGAGTCATCCAGTCAGCTTCCAGGGCTGAGGGTAGACTGAAACCTAGGACCAGCACCTGAGCCACTGCATCATACTGGGTCTCTACAAAAGCAACATCTTCACAGCTGACATTAGAATATAGGTTGGATGGTGTTGGGCAGTGATCTTTGAAATACATGATCCCAAGCCATTTAGGACTTTACAGATTAATGTTGACACCTTCATTTGGGATTGGCATCTGACGGATTACAACTACAGTGATTTCATGATGGTGCTATTTGGTCTGATTTACCTGTCCCAATTAACAATCAGTAGTCATGTTCTGCATCGGCTGAAACTTCCAGACTGTCTCTAAGGGTAGCTCCATTACAGGGGATTACTGTAATCCAACTGAGAGGTTTCTAAGTCATGGATCACCAAGGCTTGCATACCACCAAATATGAAGATAGGCCCACCTAGCTACTGAAGCTACTGTATTGATAGACTAGAATCAAGAGGAGCCAAGAAGCTGTGCCCCAGTTCCTTTTGGAGGGAGTGTTAGATTGCCCGGGATGAGGTATATTTCTCTTTCCTAGACCTGAGTCTAAAACCTTGTTGAGACCCTATAACTCAAGCAGCATGGGGCTGAACAGGAATCTCCTGTTGTGACTCTGGTAGTATACTGAGAGTATGAAAGGAAGCAGTGTCATAGATGCCTCCAATTGCCAACCCAACGAAGCTTCTTCAGCAGTATCTCGTGATCAATGGCCCATGATCAAAGGCAGCTGAAACCTCCAGAAGAACCAACATGGGAGCACTCCCCTATCTCCTATATTGATACCTGTAAAGTTCATCAGTCAGATTCAGGGCAACTAAATCTGCTTCAGTGTAATTTCCAGACTGAAAGCTAGGCTAAAATTGATCTAGATAATTGGTTTCTTCCAAGCATGCCTGTACTTGGATGGGCACTCCTCTCTCCGTTACTTTGCCCAAGAAATTAGCACCTGGATAGTAGTTGTCCAAACTAAGTGCATGCGCACACACACATGTATATAAAGTGTTACAAAGAGACAGGTCTAAATTAAAATATTCCGCATAAATATTCCCTGATACTGTAAGAAGGAATACGGTTAGATGTATAAGAATTTGTTTTTAATCTTTTGTGCCATATCTATGAACTATACAAGATAACTAGATTCTGAAAAAAAGAACTTTATCATCACCTTTTAAAAGATAGTGCTACTATCTTCTTTCTGATTGTTCCGACTCTCTCCTTTGCTACCTTCTTCAGCTCCAGTTCCCAGAACACTCAGCCTCTCATATTTATTTTGTGGCATCTTATGCAATTTCTCCATCTTCCATCCACCCATAAAATTAAGTGTTAATGTGTTTGCATTAACAGGCAGAGATAGTTTACACACGCATTTACAAGGAGAGTCCTGCTATCAAGAGGCTGGATTCACACAACACACTCACTTTAATGAGGTTTAGTTTAGGAGCGCTACTGGATATTGCCAATGCGCTTGGTGAAGCATTGTTTGGAGGCGCAATGGGCATTGTGGCTTATTCAACAAATCATAGTTTAAACATTCTGGCTTAATGTAATGTGCGAATTAAGCCAATGAAATTTTCTTTTCAGCAAGCGTATAGAGAATTGCACTGTATAAGATCTCTCTGCACATTTTCCTGAGAGTTAATCCCACCGAAACAATAGCAATGAGACTTTGATACTGTAATTCTTTGAAGGTATATTTTCCTTCTATGAGGTTTCATGCCAAACACCCCTTTGAAGCAGCTTCCTGAGGCAATGTGGCTGCTACTTCTAAACTGCAGAGCTACCACATCACCAGAGGAAGCACTGACTAAGGAAGCACCTTAGAGGAGATGTTTCTGCTCATGTAAAGCAGTGGGGGGGGGGGGGAGAGGGCCTCACTCCAAGCCTCATCAAGGGGGAGCATATTATCTCTGCAGTACAAACAGCCTCATTAGGCATCACCTACCTTGCACATCCCTGTCTCTGGATTCACTTTTATTAAACCCCAATGTTGTGTTGATATGCACGTCCTTGGAAATCAAAGGCTGACTTTTTATTTAATTACTTCCATTGAGCAGGGAGCACAGCCAGTGTTAAAGTCCCTTTGTCTGTCTAGGCAGCAAAGCAGAATAGTTTGCAGGGCCTTCCCTTCATTTCCCCATCTTGCTTCAGTGAGGAAGCCAGAGAGCGGTGCTGCCCTTACTGTTTCAAGGCAGGACAAGGAGTCTCCCCCAGTGGCTGTGGCTGGCCGTACTTCGAAGTAGCATGCGAAGTAGTTAGAAGAGACGCTCCCCTAAATAAAAACCCTGAAAAGCCCCTTGTAAACAGAATAAATAGAAAATGCACTCTGGCAACAAAACCAGCAACATACAGCTGGTAGAATCTGGGAGTTTTTCCCTAGTAGAAATCAACACAGCAGAAGAGAACGCTAGTGTTGTGTTTCGCTTTGTTTTAAAGACAGGCACTTTCAAGATAGCTTTAAACAGGTGTGTACAAGGACCTCATGTGAGGTCTGACAAGGGCTTCGTAAGGTGCTGGGGTCAAGCATTACGCGGGCAGCGGCCTCTGCAGAACCAGGTGCCCAGTCTGGCCCTGCAGCCCAAACAGCCAAGAGCAATGCCTGGAGGGAGGGGCTAGGCCTGCAGCCACTTGATGCGGCCATAGGAGATTCCCACCACTTGACCACATCATGAACCACCTACTGATGAAGTGTGTTAGACCAGAGCAGGTCCACAGCAAAAAAGGCCTCTGGAGAAGAGGGGAATGCTGGTTTAAAAGTGAAACACCTGAAGATGCCTTTCAACTGCCTCAGCTGTGATCTAGGATGAGACAAAAACAGGACATGGCATTAAAAAATAGTTAACGGGGCACGCTTGTGCCACTGTTAGGGAGATATGAAGATAAACCCCAAGAGAGAATGACCTTAAAACAGATATGATAGGCTCGGGCTATGTTTATAGATTGGGTGCAGACATCACATAGCGCTTCGGTGGACTTAGTCAAGATTTATTTAATATTCCACAATTGGTTAGGTTTCTACATCATGTTGTCCTACGCCATGTATACTAACCGCAGTTTATGGCTTAGCATGTGGTGTGGGTTGACCCAACACGTTAAGTCATAAACATGACTGCCAAGCTCCAATGCCTCGCTTCACAAGGCATTCTGCCGCCGAACACCCAGCCGACCACGCTGCTGCTTAGCGCGCTGGGTGAACCCATGGAGTTGATACTTGCTGCGACGCCCGACCTACTTTCCGCCCAGACGCTGCCTATCCAAGCCAAGGCGTCTCCTCCTTCTGGCACTCGCCCCAAGGCTTCCTGAGCTTGGCTGGAAACTCTCGGGAGTCGTGCGAAGCGGCCCGATGCCGGGGGCGTTCCGGTCACCTCCTGCAGGGGGAGCCGGGCGGCCGCAGAGGCTCAGTACGGCAGCGGCAGCGGCAGCGGCAGGGGGAGGAGCAGCAGGTGCGGCGGCCGCAGTTGTTACCTTTACCTCCGGGAAAGGAGGAGACGGGGGCGGGAGCTGGGTCAGGGGGCTGGGCTTGCAGGTTGAGAGTCAAGCGGAGGCAGCGGAGGAGCCGCGGCCGGAGAAGGAGAGGGAGGCAAGGAGCCGCGAAACCTCCCAGCCCCCACTCGGGGAAGGAGGCGATCCGCAGCCGCGAGAGGACGGAATCCGGCTCTGGCTGGGCGCGCGAATGCGGCTCCTTTCTACGCTCCGCCCGCTCGCTCCTCCGACCCTCCGTGGAGGGGAATCGTCCCCCCGGCGAGCTTAATGGGCGGTAGCAGGGGCTGGCGAGGGACGGGCGGGAGGCGCGCGCCCCGGTCTTTTT